AATTAAATGTTTTCTTGAACAACGTTTGAATTCCTTTAGTTAAGGTTCCAACTTGAGCGCAGAGTCTATTGAGTTCCAAAGTTTAACAGTTCACATCACATCCTTGTTGCTCGAATCAGGTTTAAAGTTCAGTTAATACGTCTGAATAAGCTGATTTGTTTCTGACGAATAGGACACAATAGAAGAACCTTCAAAGAAACTCCGTGACATGGGAGTGACGATCTTCAGCTTGGGGATTGGTAAAGAATACAAGAAGGATGAGCTGGATGAAATGGCAACCGACCCAGACTCCGCACATGTCTTGACAGGAGACTTTGACGAACTTGATCAAGTACTTCCAAAAATTAAAAAGCAGAGTTGTACCGGTGAGTATGCCAGGAGAAGTCAGCTAGCTCCTGCTTTATCCGATACTTACCATACATCCCTGGGGAGTAGGCCATGTTCGATATACAGTCGAACCTCCGGTTGCGACCACCTCTCGTAAGCGACCACGTCTCCTCGGCGACCAGTTTTTTAATATACCAAAAGTTTACAACTCAAATCACTATATCTGGAATCTCTTGTAAGCGACCACCTCTCATAAGCGACCGCGACCACTTTTAGAGCTAAAAGTTTGAAAATTTTCTTTTCTTTTGTTTTTTAACTTCCCATAAGCTGACAGATAATAGAATGGAAATTGGATAATAAGGTGTTGTAACATTATCGCATTCCTGGGTAGTACAAGAGACGGAAATGTCTCAAAAGGAAGTACAGGATTGTTTTCTTGAAACTGACTTTTAACATGAATAAAACGTTTAATACCTGGGGTAAGTCTCTGCAGTTACCAAGCTCTCGTAAGCGACCACCTAGGCTTGACATTTTGGGTGGGGTTCGATTATATCAATATTCTAACATGGCTCCTAGGCTTTCAGGACAAAATTGCAAATTTTTTTAAAGTTTCCTTTGTCTCTTGGATACAAAGAAAACACCTCTAAATAAAGAGGTTTGTCCTGAAAGCCTAGGGGCCAACAAGTTAGTATATTAGTATATCGAACGTGACCTATTGTTAAGTTATAGTTAAATTGAAATTTAAATATCTTAGTTGACCAATTGGCTTTTCAAAGCCAGTATCAACAAAATCTTAAACAAATATTATAATCAAACATAACATAGATAAAAATCCCAACTGGCAGGAGACAGACCAGCTGGCCACTGTATTTACAAGAGTGACCTAACACGGGACAAGCGAAAACAAATCAAGCTGGTTGCAGGGTGCATGGCGTGAAACCAGGACCTCAGAATAACAAGACCAGGGGCCTGTTTCTTGAAAGCCCCGGAAACTTTTCGGACCCGCAAAGCCATTTTTAGTTAATCTGTATCTAAAAACAGAAAGGTTTATACGCCTGAAACTTCTTGTATGAAGAGAACTTCTGGTCATATTAAGAATATGTAGATAAAACAGCTCTGTAATCATAAGGTTTGAGATTTTGCTACGGCTTTTAATTTCCACGGGTGCGAAAACTTTTCGGGACCTTCGAGAAATGGGCACCAGTACCTTAACCACAAGGCCACACTCCTCATAAATTAACAGCACAGTGAAGTTAAAAATTGCTAATATACATGTTGGGGAGTTTTAGAATCCGTGGGACTCCA